AAAGCCTAAATACCCAAATATCTCAACTTTGAGGAAGCATGGATGCAAGACCTCGGCCTGCTTTTGATACAAACAGGCCCAATGCAACAGACATATGGCTAGTTTGCGAAATTAGGTTCTCTTTCAGGATGCCCAAAACTAGAACGTCGCTCTTGTGATGACGACACCCGTCGAATGGACAGCCACATGAGAAGAAAAGGCATCCTCAGATTGCAAAACCATAAACCTTAAATGGGTAGTTCACTAAATGAGGGTCCCTTTTAGAGTCCTGTTCATACGGGTGCCGTATTCTTGTCGGCGCCCTGCTTTACAGAACTACTGTACCCAAATCCCAAGCCATACGGTAAAGCTCAAGGTCTAACACCCTGACATGCTACTTGAGTTCCCCTACCTTTCAACCCAAATGCCTCCACCCGAAGACCTATTTATGCAAAGTTCGCGGGCTTGGAGGAAGCTGTAAACCATAGAGGCATAAGACGCGAAAAGAAAAGAACATGGATAAACGGCACGAAAGGCAAAGAGCGAACACGAAAGAATAACAACGAATCCATTGGAAATAAGTCCCAGTGAAATAGGAGCCAAGGAGTACAAAAAACACATCAGCACAAAGTCATGTTCCAGACCTTAAGCCCTCAAACCAAAGCCATTAGCCCTTAAACCCTGAACCATGAAGCTTAAACTGTAAGACCTGGATGTTAAAGCCCAAGCCATAAAGCCTAGACCGTAAGACCTGAACCCAAAACCTTAAACCGTAAGCGCCTCTTAAGAACCCCTATAGAACCCTATAGATCCCTTCAAGGAACCCAGAGGGGTGGTTGTCAAAATTAGGGTCCCTTTTTGGGTCCCTATTATAGTACAGCACCTATTATTTAGGGTACCCAAAAAGGAACCCTAATTTTGACAACCACCCATATGTTAAAGGAACCCTAAACCCTCAGCCCTAAGAGCCTCAAGAAACTTACCTTTGGTTAGTAGGGAATGGAAGAATGGTAGCAATAAGTAGTTATAATTCTACCTAATTCCTCCATTCCGTACTAACCAAAACCCTAAACATACTGTACCCTAAACCCTAAACCCCAAACCCCAAACCCCATTCTTGCATTCCCTACTAACCAAAGGTAAGGAAAAAAGCGCCTCCGGAGGAGTCGGCAACCTCCATGGATGCAGCGAGCACATCTCCGGCTGGTTCTCGGGGCGGCTTCCTGGCTTCGCATTTGGGTTTCTGGCTTCTACTGTAGGGTTTAGGATTTAGGGTTTAGGGCTTTTAGTTGCTGTGATTTTTTTGCTGGGTTTAGGAGTTTGCCAGATTTTTCAGTTTCGGGCGTGCGTCGTGATACCCAAAAAGAGCACATCTTGAAACACAACTCACAAGAAAGAGATCCGGTAAGCACATCCTTAACGGCAATAGCAACACCCTAGACCCTGAACCCTCAACCCCCAAAAGCCCTAAACCCTGGAAAAAACCCGAACCCTAAACCCTAGTAACCCTAAACCCTAAATCCCCGAACCTTGAACCGTAAAACCCAAATCCCTAAATCCCTGAACCCTAAATCCCTAAACCCTAAACCCCAAACCCCTCCAAAAACCTTAAATCCCTGGAGAAAGGGGCGAGTGCGCTTTTTTCGAGAAAAAAAACCTGAACCCTAAAACCCCTCCAAAAAAAAACCCTAGCACAGGATCGCCCTTCTCCAAAGAGGTGGCTGCTTCTTCGCTTGGAAGGCCCTCCTTTCGGTTGCATCCCCGGTGAAGATGCAGACCATCGGGATCTTTTAGGATTTATATAGGTTTTAGGATTTAGGATTTTAGGATTTAGGATTCAGGGTTTGGGATTTGTGATTTTTCGTCATTTTGTTTATCTTTCTGGAAGGCTCTTTCTGGTTGCATCCCCGTGAAGAGAAGATGCGGACAGTTGGGAGACCTTTTAGTTTTTTTTGAATTCTTTGTTAGCATTAATGATCTTCTTCGGATGTTTAGACGAACTTTTTTGGTATCTTTAGACTTTGCAGTGGTTTAGGGTTTCCGGGTTTAGGGCTGAGGCTTATCTTTAAAGTATAAAAGCACTCCAGAGGTTATAACAAAACTCCAAGGCAATCTAACACAACTCCAAGAGATTATTGCAAGATTATGTCTGGTTATCGCCCCAGGGGCACTTACAGTAGAAGCCAGAAAGTTGGAACATCATTATCCTCATGCCCTTAAGGTAAAGTATAAGGGATCCTAGCACTAATCCTCCTAAAGCCATGTTCCAACTTTCTGGCTTCTACTATAAGCGGAAACTATGAGGAGTCTTTTGGGTCTACAGTGTCTACAGTTTAGTGTTTAGGGTTTTAGAAATTCAGTGTCGGTTTATGAGCCTTAAACGTCTAAAGGCTAAACCCCAAAGCAGCACTAGACTCTGGACCTTGAGTATTATTGAACAATCCTGAACCCTAAACCGTTAAACCCAGAACCCCAAAGCCCTGCACAGCGCTCAGAGCTTGGGGCAACACGGCCCTCTTCACACTCTGTAGCACCTCAAGAGTTTAGGGTTCTGGGGGTACGGGGTCTATCAGGTTGAGGGTTAGAGTTTGTAGGGTTTTAGACGGTCAGGATCTCAAGAGTGCCTGAAGGTATGCTACAGTCTGGCTAGAACTGGACTGCTGCAAAAACCCAAGGCCCAATGCCATTTGAGGGTAAAACTTTGGGGTTGAGGAGGGTTCAGGGTTTATCATTCGTTTCCCCGGTGTCCTCAACCCAAACCTGAAACCAGAAGCACAACCTTGAATCCGAGTCCCTGAACCCTAGACGCTAAACCCCATAAGTCATCACCCTAAATCCTCAACCCCAAACCCCAAACCTCTAACCCCCCCAAACCTTTAAACCCTAAACCTCTAGAAATTAAACCCTAAACCCTGTATCGTGGTCATACATCACTGGCAGGTGCTCATGGCAGCAAACGCTGGGGCGCAAGCAGTCCTCATCTTCGACACCGCCGCCGTGCTGCAAAGTGGGTTTCATGGAGGCTCTTTTGAGGGTTTAGGGGTTTGGGGGTGCAGGGGTTTGGGGTTTTGGGGGTTGAGGATGGCTTAGGGCTTTGCAAGGGCCGCAGTGCAGACGGCTGATGAAGACACGCACGTTTTTTTTGCAGGGTTTAAATGCTGCATAGCATCCCTGTTCAAGCCCAGATGAAATATAAAGAGGCGGGGTGACTAATGTGTGCTACATACTCTACCCCGATGATGCTACCATAGTCCAAGCCAGCAACACCCTCAACCGTAAACGGCGAAAAAGCAAGCTCCAGAAACAAAGAGACGAAATAAATCCTGAATCCTCCTGGCCTCCTGTTCTATACTACGGAGGTCAGAGAAACGTGATTCGAAGCCCATGGAACCCGATGCAACATTTTGCAAAACCCATACCAACACAAGCAATCCTATTCATGAAGGCCCGTGTGTGCACATCCACACTTTCCAGCGCTTTCAACATTACCGTTTTTGGTGTTTGAAGCGTGCACAAAACGCTCTATGGTGAAGCCCTAACCCTACGCGGATTGAGTTCTCAACGCCTGCTAAGCCCTTAAGATCTAGAGTTTGTTCGGGCTCGCGGTAGACTACGAAAGCCGCAAGCTCAAAGCTAGTGTGTCGAGCTCAAAAATGGGACTTTCCGAAAATAGGGGAGCCAAATATAGTGCCCTAAACAATAGGACCCTTATCATAAGGACCCCAAAATTTGGTACCCCTATTTTCGGAAACTCCCAAATCCTGACGATGAGGTTCCTAAACCCTAAACCCTAAACCCCTAAACCCTTAAGCCACCAAACCCCAAAGAACCCCTAAACCCCAACAAAAACCCTAAACACCCCTAAACCCCTAAGCCCCTAAACCCCTGAACCCCTAAACCCCAAGAAACCCCTAAGCCTAAACCCTAAACCCTACTGAGGTGGACGTGCAGGCCACAGCCATCCTGGCCGTGCCAGGGCCCTTTGAAAACCCGAGGCCTGACTTTGGGGTTCGGGAACATGAAGGACCCCCAAATTAGGGGTACCTTTTAGGGTTCCTTTAAGGGGTTACTTTAAGGGTACTACAAGGGTTACTATAAGAGCTACTATAAGAGTGTATATGGGAGTTTCCGAAAATTCAGGGGATTCCTTGAAAAGGGATCCTTCAAGGGCTCCTTAAAGGGATCGCGTTTCACGCAAAACCCCGAAGAGCCTACATTTTGAGACCTCCTGATGGTGATTTCAAGAAAAGCCCCTGAACAGGTAGGTCTGGTTGTGGGGATCCCTTAATCCTCAACTCGAGGATTTGGGACATTGTGGTTGCAAGGGTGAGGTCGTTTGGGGGCGATCTTCGTCTTTGGGTGGAGAGTTTAGAAAAAAGCGAATTAGGGTTGAAGGACTCCAGGTTCAGGAAATCGGCAGATCTGTCGTCAGAGCAAAGCAGAGTGTGGGACTTCTTTTAAAGGGTGTCAAAAAGGGGTAGCTTTCAGGGTTCTATGAGGTTTAAGGACATTGCTGCCTGAATAAAAAGAATAGGGTTTTGGGGGGTCATGCGAAAGTAGCATCCTGTATTACGTAGTATCTTGAGGTATAGCATCATAGCATCCCGTCTCTGAAGTGACGAGCTTGCGAGTTTGGGATTTACAGACATTGAGGTAATACATGCTTTAGAACCAAAGCCCCTTGGTTTAATCTGTTTAAGCTCCCTTATAGGTTGAAGCACCCTAAAAAGCTTGCAAGACTTCGTTTAATTGCGCAAGGCATTTTTACCGGTAGCATCGTGCTTTCAGAGTCGTCCTGCTGGGGCTGCAGAGCTTCAGCACGAACGGAGGGGTCGAATCAGCATGCATATTAATAGGGCTCTATAAGTCTATAAGGGTTTCACTCACAGGATTTACAGGCTCGTATGGAGGTCAAAAGCACTGTGCCTTTGTAGTCCATGTCAGTTTAGAGGCCATTTTCCATTCGCTGCGGTAGAGCTCGGTTCGAGCGCTCGCCTATGCATATAAATTCTGGTGAAACATCAATCGCACGGGGTGCGAAAGCCGGAGTCTGTTTCCTCAAAGCCCGTCGCACGGAGCCATTCCCGAGCCGGACCGAGGGCCTTACAGACTCCTGGGCAGACAAAAAGACACGGTTTGCTGACAGCAGCGGTGACACATTGTGCAATAACTCCGCAGGTCGCCTCCAACCATGTGCTGTAGGCTGCCGCATCCTTCAAGCACAAACTGGTGGGCACATCATGTTGGAGGACATGAGGAGGCGGCGGTTCGACCCGGAAGATGGAAGGCACTCCACTGAGGGCGAATGCCGCACGTCCAGGCCGAGTCCAGGCAGGGACGTCATCCTGGGGGAAGGCACGAGCGGGTTTGCACGTCTGGTACGTGTCAGCAAGGAGATCCACATCAAGCAAAAGCAACACGTTATCAGCCGTGGAAGATTTGGCCGGGCAGCACGGTGCTGCATCTTTCCAAGCCGAAACTGTGGCTCTGAGAGTCTCCAGAGGTTCCACAAAAGAGGTGACGGTTGCCCAAACCGTCTCCTCGTCATCCGGAGGAACAGCATCCAGGGCAGAGAGGAGCCCGGCAGCAACATCCAAACGGATGCTGGGCTCAAACTCGTGATGAAAAGATCCCGATGCCACCTCAGGGTACGCCAAGGGGTGCGGGGGTGGCCCTTTAGAGTTGTTAGGGACAAACCGACCCCAGTTCAGGACGCACTGTGGACTAGAAACTAAGTGCCGACGTAGTCTGCCTAAACTAGAGTAGCAACGTCCGCACGCACAGCAGGTGGTACCAGTAGCGCACAGGTGGGCGTGAGATCGGTACCCATGCTTACGAGCACAATGCCCCGCCCAGGCAAGGCGGCTTGAGAAGGCACGTCTGCACGTGATGCAGACCTCACTGTAGTGAGGGCGGTGTGGGGGAGGGTCAGAGGGCTCGGATCCTGAACCACACATCAGGAGGAGGGCACGGTGAAGCCCTGAGAGCGAGGCAATGACCACATGTCGGTGAATATCGAGGGCCTGAGCTCTTTTGACCGCCCCTTTATACTTACCAGGGGTTTGGGATATGAAACTGCTCCAGCTGTCCCAATCCTGACGAGGGCAGGGTAACCCGGTTGTGCGCCAAGTGTAGGAGTGCAGCCACTGTAGGTCTGCAAGCAACAGCTCCGCATGATCTCGGTCGGCTCGAAGGCAAGCCCACAGTTCAGGTGGTGCTGCAGCAAGGAGCTGCGAGACATACAGGAGGCGTTGAAAGCGAAGGGCCGTACTGGGACTAGGGAGCCGCAGAAGCGCAAAGCACGTATGAGCGTCCATATGCTGGTCATCCATCTTGCCAATACCAAGCAAGCTACGGTAGAAACTCCAGAGGGCCCCGGAGATAGACCGACGTTCACCAATGTTGAGCGGTCCCCAGGAGCCTGCACCGAAGTAGAGTTTGGGAAGGACGGCAGAACGCAGAATGAACGCCTTACGGCCTAGACTGATGGCCGGATTCCTGTACACTTTGTGACGGCCTTCGGCGAAAGCAGCACGCGCTTGCGTGATGCGATATGCAACTTCAGCTCGGAGACCTCCACCGGGGGTCTGCTGGCAGCCAAGGTGTCTGTAAGATGCGACTACCGGCAGGAGAACGCCGGGTCCTGATTCAACCACAACCGGAACATGGCCACGGAGGCCTGAAGGACCAAAAACAGCTTGCTTGGCCCGACGGCTGCCAGGGCCGGAAAGGGTCAGGACCGCTGCAGTCTTGCTAGGTGCAAACGACAGAGTAAAGCCGAACTCATGAAGGGCTTCGGACAAGCAGCTTGCCTCAACTCCCATGGCACAGGCCGCGAGGTGGGGCGTAGTGAGCCTCGGGATGGCTATGTCATCCGCCCACACCACTTCCGAAATTTGGATGTGGTCGGAATCCGTATCACACGGTTGGAAAGAACGACGGCCGTCCCACGGAAAGGATGGGGGCTGAGAGACGTGGTGGCATGCCTCACGAAGCTGATCACGCCTAAGAAGGATGCGCTTGATGAGGGCAGCAAATATAAGGTCGGCCCAGGACGAGCCGGGACGCGAGCCCTTAGCGGTAGCAATCACCGTAGTGTCCCCCTTCAGACAGAAGAAGTTGCCTTCCTGCAAACTACATGTGAGAGCTTCCAGCCAGGGTGGGGCGCCACCCCTGGCGAGGGCAGTAGGTTCCGCCAAGTGCTGAGCTACCGCCTCCCTTTCATCGGAAGACAGCTGAAGGCTGTCGAGAAACCCATCGGGGTCAAACCCGTCAGCTGTGGCGGCGGTGTTGGCTACAAGGCGTTGGATAACGCAGTAAAAGGCAGAGGCAATGTCAGCGAACAGGGTGAAGTGGGTCGTCCCGGTGGCTGTAGCCACACGCCCCAAGGCGCGAATAAGCTGGCTACCAAACATAACGGTGCACTTCGATTTGCCTCCTAGCTGTAGGCTAGGGGCATGCTGCTCAAAGAACCTCTTCATCGGTGGTCGCAGCGCCTGGTGTACGATCTTGGACCAGACCGGGAGGAGAAGGATGGAGCGGTATGAAGTGCATTCCTGAAAGCTACCTTTGCCTTTGTAGAGCCAGATGGCTTGACCCGCTTTACATCCGATCGCTTCGGCTCCACGCCAAGAAGTCTTCAAAGCAAGATGGTGCAAGTGCGGGGAGAGAAACTCGGCGAAGACTCGGCCGAATTCGTTAGGTATCCCGTCCATCCCCGGACACTTGGCAGGCTTTGCTTTAACAAGCAAGCGATGGATGTCAGCGCAAGTTGGCAGGAGACGCACATCCGAAGGGGCCGGCCACGACCCTCCTGACATGGCTCGCTGACAAATGCGGCTGTGGGAGTCTGCAATGAATTGGCCCAGCTCTATCTCCTTACCCCCCTCCAGGCCCCCAAAATGCTGGCGCCATCGCCGGAGGCTGGAGTCCGAATCCGGGCAGACATTGCCTGCAGCGTCACGAATGGAGGGGAGGGGGTCGGCCCGATAAGGCTTCTTGCGCTTATGGGAAAGGAGCCTATGAAGGTTACCAAATACCTCAGAAGAGGGACTGGAGGAGATCTGGTCCGCAAGAAGGCTCAAGTGATTGTTGCGGTCACGCTTGCAAGCGGTCTTGAGCTGCTGTCCTTGGTGGCGCAGGACACTGAGATGGGCGGCCAGGGCGAGGTCGGCCCTGCGCCACCAGACTGTGCCGCCGACGAGGGAAGAGAACATGTCAATTCCCCGCCACACACGAAAGCGCATTGCAGTGAGCTGCATGTAAACCTGCCGCTGGAGACGGTGAAGGGACCTGCGGGTAGCAGCAACAGCACGCTGGAGCTGCCAAGTGTCCTGTGAAAGATAGGACTGGTGAGGTCCTACAGCTCGTTTAGATTTAATCGATCCCAGGGTTTGCTGCACATAGCCAACTAAGTGTGCGGCATGGGCGTGCACTGAACAATCCCAGGGAAGGGGCTGGAAACGCTTGAGGGCTGCCTCGATTGTAGCCCGGTTGGCTGGATCCGTGAAATGACTAACTGGGAACCGCCGTTGGCGCAAGGCTGGCCCGGCTTGTCCGGCACGACAATGGAACTGGACTTCAACCACGGCTGCAGTGTGGTCGGGGCTACAGTGAGCAGTGTGGAGCTGTGGTGCCAGGTAGGATCGACAGTATTCCTTACACCAAGCTGACGGAATGCAGACCATGTCCGGTCTGCACAACTGGCCATTCCGCTTCTGGACGTAGGTGTGTGATGCGCCGGTATGGAAATCCTCCCAGGTTGCAGGAATTAAGAGATCGAATTCCTGTAACACGGAGTGCAAAGCCTCGCCAGCTGCATCTTCGGACTCTGCCGCGTGTCCCCCAACTTGGTCCGATGGGTGGCTGCCTACCGAGGCATTGAAGTCGCCAGCTAGGACAATGCTGTCCCGCATGGCATGATTTCGAATAAGCGCGTGAGTTTCCGACCACCACTGTTCGAGTACAGAAGCCTCCGTCGCACGGTGGGGGGCATGAAGACCCACAAAAAGGGTCCTGACAGCCTTATCTGCGAAGCGCACCAGAAGGCGGCGGGGATCCGAGGCAACAACGGTAAAAAGGGGCTCGCGGAAAACATGGTTGGCGGGATCCTGAGCCGCCCCAGATGTGCGAAAAGCGAACCCATCCTTAAACCACCATTCTACACCCCATTGGCCGCGAAGGCCACCTGAGCAGAACCTGAGATAACGACCGCAGTGGTAAGTACCCGAGTCGCAGCGGGTTTCTTGAAGGCATGCTGCATGGATGTGATGATCATCCAGTTGGGCAGCCAGCATCTGGGCCCGGCCGGGTTGCATGGCCAATCCTTCGCCGACAACTTGACCTGAGGCAGGTCCACCAAAACCGTCATTGAGAGAAAGAACGTTGAAGGTGGCCAAGGTGAGCTGAGTGCACGTAACAGGAGCCGCAGCTTGCATGGTGGAAGCTTCTGCGACAGAGGGTGTGGGCCCTCCTTGGAGCCGGACTGAGCATGCTCCGATGGGAAGGAATGGCTCAAAGAGTTGCCGCGTGCTGAGGCCAAAATGGTTAGTGTCCTGCCCCAACCACTCCGAGTTGAGGCGGGGTAGCGCTGGATCGCCTAGATTGCTGCGAATGGCCGTAGCAGCCCAAGGTAGCAAACGGGCACCCTCAACGAGCCAGAGGCGGAGGAGGCTATCCGAGAGGGCAAGGCCGCAAGAAGGCTTAAGGGACAACGCGCCATGCTTAGACAAGCGGTCTGCTAACTCATTGCCGAAGTGGCCGGCATGGCCTGGGATGTGCTCCACTGTATCAGGCTGTACGAAAATCGTACGGCGGAAATCAAAAGTATTGCGCATGGCCTGGCCAATTCCCCCGGGCTCGTAGGCCGCGGCACCACGTGCAATATCCACCGCAGACGTGCAATCTGACAGAAAGCTGACTGGTCTGTGACAGAAAACACTGCAAGCTATGAGGCACGCGTGCAACAGGGCAGCACACTCTCCCACAAACGGCGAGGGGGTGTAAGGCTCAGCACACAACCTGGCCTCGACAGCGCCAAAAGCTACACTGATTTGGGAGGCATGTGGGTCAACAAACACACATGCCCAGCCGCATGTAGAGGCGCAATGTGACCGGCCCTCAGTAAAGGACCCATCGGTAAAGCAGAGAAGCGTACCAGGGACATGGGTGCTGGCCAGATCTCGGAGCTTGGCTCTGCACGTCGATGCTGACCATTCAGACATGGCTGGGCACAGAAGGGTAGCCTCAACAAAGGAGAGCAGGCAAGCAGAGGACTGGAGCAAGTCCGTGATATCATCTAGAGAAAACCCCAAGGGCGTGCCTCCTAAGGTGAGTGGCTGGTCGCTGGGCGTCGGAACCACTCCCGGCGTCATGTGAAAGCGACCAAGCGTGAGTGGCTCAGGTGCATCAGCAGAGCCTCCGAGTGGTAGCGAATCACACAAGTTCAGAGCACAGGGCTGGCCCTTTTGGAAGCAGCCTGGAGGGAATGCCTCCATGAGTACTGAGAGAGTGGCAACCGCTACCGCCAGTCCCGGACAACTCGGATCCTGGGCTGCCACACAAAGAAGGGTGCAGAAACGGGTGGCATGGCGGCCGCCCTGGCAGATCTCCTCATGAGGTACCGCTAGGGTACGGGCAACGGGAGACTTAGTGTCCGGGTCAGGGTCATCCCTTTCCAAAATGGGAGGCGGAGCAGCGTAGAGAGCCCGACAAGGCGTGGGAATCTGTCTTGGAGGGTCTACCCTAGGCTTAGCCCGACTACCCCGAGGGACTATGGTATGGTGTTCGGGACCCAGCACTCGAATTGAGGGCTCCGTCAGTGGGTGGAGGCGGTCCTGCTTGGCTGAAAGGCAGCTTGGGCGCAAGGTAGCGGCAGCTGCCGTATTCAGACACCAAGAAAGAATTACGCAAACCCAAATCAGGGAGGTGCACAGCTGAGTCCGGTGTGCCCTCGAACCGGTTTGAGAGCAGGGTCGAGGCCGAGCCCGGCTAGGAAGCACACTCGGACAGATTTCGTTCACGAGGTCGGGCTGGGCCGGAGCCCGAGTGGCGGCCCCGCTGATGGAATGGGCGAGGCCAGGCAAGGTAGGGGCAAGAGACCCCACAGAGGTATCTCCTCTATGGCACAGGAGGACAGGGGTGGAGCCGCGGTTGCCAGGCACTCTGGCGTCATCGACTAGAAATCCGCAGGAACACATGACTACTCGACTGTGCTGGAGGGGAGGGGCCTCTAGGGGGGATGCTCTAGTGCCGGCACTAGGTCGGTGCTCAGGTCCAGCTGCGCACAGGTTGCGCACACATTGCGCATCGGTTGCGCTGGTTGGGTATGAGCTGACGCAGCCCGTGCCGCACTGAAACTCAGCTGCGCAGAGGTTGCGCACACCTTGCACATCGGGTGCGCTGGTTGGAGACGAGCTAACGCGATCTGTGCCGCCAGTTCCTGCGGCAGCAGGCCCGGGCGACCCTGCGACAGGCGGGTCAGAGGAGGGCGCACTCAGCTGATTAGGTGTAGGTGAGCCAGGCCCCAAGTCTTCAGAGGAACTAGAAAAATTTGAGGAGGGGGAAGAGCGTGGGGATGGCGGCGGGCGGAGAGCCTCCCGCGCCTGCGCGTGAGTCAAAAACTCAACTTCGACGACCTCTCCGTCCTGAACATCAATAGGCTCCTGAAGGGGAAGGGTTCTGAGGTCCCGATGGGTATAGGCAACCTCAAAGCCTATAGGGCACCTGGGCCCAAACCTGGCAAGCAAACCTTGGTGGTCAAGGTTGTGGTTGGGTGCCCAGGCCCAACTGAAACCAAGTAGCATGGGTCGCAAGTCCAGGATTACAATAGGGTCACGATGCAGATGAAAGGTAAGTCCTTGTGGCAGGATGTGCGCAACGACTAATGCCTTGGAAACGCACCCTTTATGCATGTGATTAGGGACCCATGGGGCCGCCGGCCGCAGGAGGAGTTGTGCTGGCGCGCACCCAAACCGGGCCGCTAAATCATCCCTGACTACATGGCGACGCCCTCTCCGGACAATGAAGCCGAAGTGGAGCTCATCCGAAAGAATCCACGCTGTGTCATGGAAATTCCCAGGGTAGGCAGCACTAGGGTTCCAACCGGTAGCATGTTGAAGCATGTCAGCCAGGTTAGTGGTGATGAAGACTTGATGGTCAACTGGTAGGATTATCACCAGATCGGCCAAGGCGGGCTGAAGGACCATGTCCTCACGCAAGGGCCAGGGGACGTCATTGTAGTAGATGTGCACAGGGGCGTCATCAGGAAGCCCAGCAAGGCGAAGTACGTCGCTTCTCCGGAGTTGCGGCGGTGCCGTGACCGCAAAGAGTCTGTTATCGACCCTACTATCGATGCACAGTAGTATAGTCGGATTGTCCCACACAGGGGCCGCCATCAAGACTCCTCTTTCGGGGAAGGTTTGCGTGGCCACGGGGAGCAAACGCGGAAAACGGCGCCTGGTAATGGGCCGCCGGGCGGCGGATACGAGCGCCAAAGTGCCGTGGACCGTTTGAGGTAGCTGGACACGGACTCGCACTACTTCAGGCAAGTATTCAGGCAGAAGGATGATAAAAGGGAGATCGATAAACTCATCCGCAGAAGTGTTCAACGCAACTTCAGGGCTTGCATCCACATCTTGCCGGGCAGAAGAGGAATCGGCAAGTGGGTCCACGGAAGAGCCAACATGATCCCCCGGGGGGGGTGAGGGGCTTGCAAGCCCTGGGGGAATCTGGGAGGCATCTCGATCGGTGTCCACAGCATCTGAGGACGGTGTGTGCGCAGGTGGAATAGCCTCTGCCTGAAGGACCTGACCTGGGATGACCTGGTATTGAAGGACGCCTGGCGGCACCTCAGGGATAGAGAGAGACCATCCTGCAGGGAGATCTCGAAAAAGGGCGTCCTCGACTGTGCGGATGCACAGCAGACCATCTCGAACAAGGATGGAGAGCCAGCCCGCATAGAACGCCCGGCAGTCTAACAAAACCAGGAACTTTTGGGGATGCCGGTTGACAGCGGAGAGCCGAGCAGCCGCCACAATGGTTCGGCAGGACACCCCATCCAAAGTGGCGTCAATGACACGGGGATTGGCTGGATGGAGCACTAACTCCGCATAAGAGATGCCAAGTGCCGCTGCGAGCTGGCGCCTGTACTGGGTCGGTCTCTCATTTTGGTAGGAGAACAGAACCTGTTGCTGGTCTTCAACCACACAGTACGCCACACTGTCGTCAGGTGGGAACACAAAGTGCTGCGACCATAAGCTAGGGCGCTGAAACATTGTGTCGATCGAGATGGCAGCAGGGAGTGGCGTCCGCACAGGAGCGACAATAATCGCCAACCCACTGGAGACATGTATAGAGGCTTCGTCAGGGAGCGGTTGGGCATCATGGCCCACGAAGAAGGCTGCATCCGAGGTGGGGTCCAGAGCACAGAGAGAACGGAGCACGGCTGGACTGAGATAGTCCGGAGCCAAAGTGGCATAGCAGCGTCCGTCCCAGCGCGTAGCATCCAGGAACACGACTTTTGGTGCATGCGTATAGGGAGCAAGGGCCACAAAAACACCCACTCCAGGTATAGGCTGAGGGTCGGCCGGTGTTAGAAATGGAAACCTCCTTGCTGGGACGGGATCCCTTTCAGCCTGGATAACAGCCACTGCTTCCCCATAAGTGCTCGGAAAATGAAGAGCAAGGGTCAACCATTCCGGAGCATACAGAGGGGCATAGATCAAAATGGTGGCCCATGCAACCGATCCTGAGTCTGACACAACATCAGATGACTCCGGTTCGTCCGAAGAATGCTCAGGGGAATCATCTTCCAGGGGTAGGGGCCAGTCATCACCAAAGTCCTGAGTGACTCTCCGAAGTCTGCTGACACGCTGTCTATCAGAAGCATGGCGACAGGGCAGAGGCACAAGGGTCTTACATCCAAGGGGTCCCCGTGTGTAGGATGGCCTTGAGAACCTGAAAAGCCTGGTCCTGGTGCGTGCCCAAAGGATGAAACAAATGCACAGGAGGAGCACCAGCACACTGCTGGTAGCCACAGAAGGACCAGCACGATCTGCAGCGTGCAAGACAGGGAGAAGGCCGTCCCGGTACACATCAAAATGCTGGATGGAAAGGAAGGCACCTTCAGCTCCTGTAGGTGAGGCTGCACTCAGGGCAGCGGTAAGTGCACCAGCCCTGAGGGCATTAGGTGACCGAGAAGGACGGCTGCGAGAGCTTGCGCAAGGACTATGCCTAGACCTGGATCTCGACCTATCTCTGGAGGGAGATGCGGAGCGGAGGAACCTTGGGTCATCCGCAAACAAATGCTCTCCATCCGAGTCGGCGGGGGCTGTGGTGGTATCCTGTGCGTCAGTATCACCCTCCTCTTCTGACTCCTGGCTTGCATCCACGGAAGAAGAGGAGGCAGAGTCTTCGGAGCCTTCCGACGCATCCACAAACTCAAAGCCGAATGTAAGCGTGGTGCCTTGTTGAACCTCCAAGCGGGTTCGACGCAGGCGACCACCAAGGATGCGCAAGCGCCAGCTGGGAGGCGGGCGACGACCGGCCAATACAAGCAGATCGGCTCTGGGAATCCAAGGCCTCTCCAGCACAAGGTACTTGATAGTCGAACCTACCTGCCGGAGGTCCAAGAACACCACATATTGCGGGACATCAGGGGGCAGGATCCCTGGGTCCACTAGAGCCAGGATGCCCCTTGTGTCCACGCACTGGTGTTGAAGACGGGAGCAGCCGTCCCCCTGGGGCGTGTGGAACTCCACTGCCGCTCTGTCAACTCCCACAAATCTCGCGGCGGCTTCGTCGACAGGGAGCTGACTGGCTTGCACGCGGAAGAGGTACCTGCCACTCTGGTGCAAGAGTAGCAGGGCGCGAGGCCTAGAGGGCACCGGAGGTGCGACATCTGGCCTCCATGTGTGGGGAAGTTGCAATCGATACTGCAGATCCGTTGCGGGATTGGGGTGCAGGTCACCGCTAAGAAAAGTCACTACACACCCATTGGCTAGTGTCACTGCCTCGTCTTCCTCCAAGGGGTCAGACTCTGTTCCGATGAACACACGGCAGGGTTGAACGCCGTAGATCCCTGCTTGGCGGCATAATTCTGCCCTGCACGTGGGCCTAGTGACATATACGGCAGCAAGTGGGCCTAAAGAGCTGTTACCCACATCCCGCAAGTCAAGACAGACCACAGAGAGCGAAGAGTACGCCGTCCAGTCGGGTGCAACCAGGAGCGTGGCGATCTCTGGCAGCGGCTGAGGACGAACCGGGATAACCCTATCGCTAAACTTAGGCCGAAGTTCCCCAAATTGCCTTGCAGCCGTATCGACCAAGTCGTCCACATCGCACGGAATGCCAAGTGGAAAAGAGATGGTCTCGGCATGGTATCCGGGCGAAAGCATAAGGGCATGGCACTGGATATCATGCGTAGGAGCAGGAGTAGTTTGCCTGGCGAGGGCAGAAAGCTCCCACCGTACAGGTTGTGGTGGAGGAGGTCCCTTCGGTGGGCTGACAAAAGGGTGTATGATATCCGGCGCCCTGTTGGGTGGAAGGCCTGGACCTTGCGCAAGTGGGTCAGGGGGTGCTGGGTAAACCCTGCCAGGCGGAGCCCCTGAGTGGTCCTGCATCGCGTGTAAAGGCGAGGAGCCAAGAGGTGGCGCGCTCCATACACTGACAGGTAGGCTCCAAACCAGCACCCATCGGAGAAGGAAGGAGCAGAGGCGTTCACAACAGAGAATGTGTGGGGATTTACGCCTCCGAAGATGCTTAGGGCCAACGAGGAGCCTAGGGTAGGTCAGAGGGGACCCCAGGGAAGGGCTAAAAACCCTAAGAAGGTGGAAGACCCAAGAGGGGCCGCTTGCACAGCAGGACAGCTTGCGTGGTCGCCTGCGGAAAGCCCAAAATAGAAGCATCAGAAGAGATGCGAGCAGCATGCCGGCAATGGTGTGCACTATGGCACGAAGGGTATCCTGGACTAGGCCCAAGATCAGAACGTAAGGAAGCTCGGCCAGAGCATGCCGCACCGTGAGTGAGGTAGCTACCCCTGAGCCACCGATGTAGCTTTTAGGCACCTCCGCACGGTCAGCAACATGCTCTTGCACAAGGGACCAGCGGGACACAAGTGCGTACCCACAAAACTGCGGCCGTTCAAGAAGCGATACGGCAAGGGGGAGAACCGGGCCTAAACCTGAACTAGGGTCAGGGGTGCAGGTATGAGGGTAGGCATCCGGAAGAAAGGGCTGAGCCTGTGCCAGATAGCAGCCAAATCCAGGGGCGCATTGATCTTGACAGCAGGCAGGCAGGGCCGTACGTGCGGACGCAAAAGCCCAATGCATCCGCACGGCGGCAGAGGAGACAGAAGCAGCACTGAGGCGGAGATTGCAAACCCAACAATTCCAGCCTTCAGAGTGGCTCAGCGAAGTGAGGCCAAGGGCAAAACTGGCCAAAGTAGAGTGGAACGGTCCCCAGCAAGGTCGAGGCACATTGGTGTCACTGCTGCGCATCAAAACTGTACAAGCTAGACTCAGATCGCAGAAGTGAGACCGCTCAAGGCCATGCGTGCCGCTTAGAATCAGCTGCTCTAGAGGGCATTGACCAAGGTGCAATAGGCGAACGGAAAACCTGAAACATCCCAGCCAGGGGCAGGTTTTGCGTGCCATGGTGCCCCTGGGAAGATCTGTACAGAACCATGTACAGCGGGTGTGAAACCGCTCGGATCCAAGCGTAGCATTCTGCCCCAGTCGTTCTGGAGGGCATTGGTCAGAGGGAGAAGGGCAACCAAGGCATCTGGGAAGCCCACAAGGCATCCAGACCCCCTGGGCCACAGGTCCCCATAACCTGCCTGCCAGAAGATTGACACAGAGTAGCACGCATGACCCCAGCCTATGCATTGCACTCACATGGAGTCCCTGTCCTCTGTCCAATGCCCCAAGCTGTCCTGTCTCTGGAGCTATCATGTCTGTCCTTCCTGACCTGCGCTGCCCCGTGTCAAGGCAGCAATTTCCGCTGGAGAGAGCTCGTGGGCGGAGTCGTCGTCCTCGTCGTCGTCCAGGAAGTTCGAATTGGCCGCAATTGGGGGCCCCCCGGGTGGTGCCAAGTGTGATAGCCCGAAAGGCGTCAGGGCCCTTCCACTGCCAGCGGCTTCTGCCAGGGCTTGCTGCCTCTTGTCTTGAAGTCGCTCCTTGATGGATGTCCGCGGCGCTGTGGGAGTCTTTGCGGCCATAGTAGCTTCTTTGATCCCCTGACGTGGAGGCGCAGCAGAGGTGGGAACTCTCAGTTCCTCCATGATTCTTTGGCCAGGGTGCTTTGGGACCTGACCTGGGCTGAGTCCAGGAGGTACACCCGCACATGTGCTGGTATGCACAGGTGGTGAGGGCGCCGGAGCCGCGAGGTAGGGATCGGTTCTGGTCGGCGTAGTCCCCGTTGCTGCTGTGCTTTCCCGGCTCGGCATGGGTCCCGGATTCCTCACTGCACGGCCTCCAACAGGAGGAGATAAAGGTTGCACAGCTCTCTGCCTGATTGGTGTCAGAGTAGTGGCCGGTGGTTGAAAAGCTCTCGCCAGAACACCGTCCCAATCTGGGGCTGCTTGTTCCCCACATTCGGCAAAGAGTCTCGCTGTCTCTGCATCCACTCCTTCGGTTTGCATAGCAACCGGGGCATCGCCTCCCTCGGGAGCTGCATTCTCCTCGAGGTGCAAGGCACGTAGCCCATGTCTGGCCAGCTCTTGCTGGTGTTCCGCATCCTGCTGGTCCTTGGTGAGTTTGTTCATCTTCTGCTTGAACCGTTGTTTTTCCCGGGCGAATGCCTCCAGGGCTGAGCGCTCGTAGTCCTTCCATTGCTTGGTCATACGTTGCCGGGCCTGCTCCAAGCGCTGCACTTTTTGTTCTGCTTTGCGTGCATGGTTCAGGGCTGCCTGGAAAACGCTCAAATAGTCTCCAGCTGGCTGATCGGTCCTCGCTTCCTTGTCGTCGGCATACCCTTTGGCACCATAAGTCCCCGCATCGAATGCCGGGAAGCTCGGCGTGGTGTCCTCCCAGGCTTGCCAGGACTCGTCTTTCCAAGCTTTGGCCCGACTCCGCGGAGATGCATGTGCTCCACGCCACAAGGTGTAAGAGGGTGTATGGTAGCCTTGGCCTTCCCATCCTTTCTCTTTGCCCTTGTTGTCGCGGCGGCCCATAACAAGAGATCGCCAAAGGACCGATCTCTCTTCTGCTCCGGTAGCGTGGTGCGAAAGTAGCACCACGGTTTGCCGGGCCGAAAGCAGGTTGCCAGCTAAACGCTGACGCCGAAGTCGAGAGCGTTTAGCTCGGGCACGTCGATGCCAGGCAGGTGAGCGCGGGGGCCGCTTATGGCAAGGAATGCTAAAAGCGGGACGTGCGACTCGCGCACTGGGGCTCAATGTTCCGACAAAGCGGCGATTCGAGCCCTAGTTTAGAGGCCAAAGAACATCCAAGCACCAAGTCTTTATGCTGCCTGCCTGGAAAAGTGGCTTCAAGCGAACTGGATACGTGGATCAACTTTACGTCCTAGCTTGGCAGAGTGGGGCTCAGAGGTTTCACTGCTGCCGTGGACGGCTGGGAGACTTAAACCTCCAATCTGCAACCTTTTCCGCCCTGGTTTAGGGTTTAGGGTTTAGGGTTTAGGGTTTAGGGTTTAGGCAAGAACATGCGAAGCCCTCATAGGGCTGAGTTTCCAACTCTGGGAGTGCGTTGTATGCCATACACCGTTCTGCGAACTCTGGTGCAACATATCTTATGATCTCTTGCTGCCAACACCTTTCCAAATCCCTAAAGCCATGCAGCTCCTTATTGTTACTACTAATTACTACGAGAAGCTATATTGACTACGATTATCACTATGATTACGATTATCACCCTTGTTTCTGCTCCTCTGTTTTGCAGGATTCCGGGCTTTCTCATCTCCAAAGCCGAGGGGGAAGCCTTGCAAGCGCAGCTGGAGCGATGGGGCTTGAGGGTTCTGCAAGGGTTGTGTAACGGTTGATGATATAAATCCTGCATTACCCAGAATAAGGAATATACCATAATTCCCATAGTTTAGAGTCCTTAAGGTAATGCAGGATTTGTATCATCAACAGAAGGAGTCGATGAGGGTTTACGCTTTAGCGTTCCATAGTCGTTAAGTATAAGGTGTCCTTATAAGGGTTACACGGTTACAAGGTTGAGAGGAGGGTTTGGGATTTAGGATGTCCATACGTGCTTATAAGGTTCACTACGAGGGTTGCTACAGAGGTTGCGATACGGGTTTCAACATCGGTTACTCGAGCTCTGAGTTTTTTTTTTTTTTTTTTTTAAGTTTTTGGCCTCTTCTGTACATCGTAAGCCCCTACAGTCCACATGGGAGTTTCCGAAAATTGGGGGGGTACCTTATTTTGGGGTCCTGATAATAAGGATCCTACTATTTAGGGTACTATATTAGGGTCCCCTATTTTCGGAAACTCCCATATGGGCCTTTTGGTCCTCTGTTGGCGGTAGTTACTACAAGCCATAAAAGGGAATTGTTTTCAAGGACCCTGAAACCTTTAACTCCAAGCCTTTTTTAGGGGTTCGGTAGGATCTGATCTCGAATTTAGAAGAGGAGGCCGAAAGCCTAAGCCTAAACGCTAAACCCCTACACCCTGAACCCTAAACCTCTAAACCTCGATTTCCTATAACCTAAACCCCTAAACCCTAAACCCTACACCCTAAGCCAAAACCCGCAGGAGGATGGGGAAGAGCTCCTAGTCGCTTGCAGTTGGTCGCCATTGGAGATCTGGTGCCATGGCAACAACCCAGAAAGGGGGGTTTAAGATTCTTGGGGTAGGGATTCCTTAATATGAACCCTATGACTATATGGGAACCCTAAGCCCCCTAAAGTCCCAAGAGCCCGAAACCCAGACCCCCGAGAGGATCTAGAAAGTAGATCCCCTAATTTGGGGCCCTATACTAGTAAGGGTACTTTATAGGAACCCTTATTAAGGGATCTACTTTCATGGCCACCAAAGAGCGACATAATATGGGGGCCTCAATACTTAGAGTAGGGTTTTGGGGTGTACCTCAACCCTCAAATCCGCGACCCTCCCTAAACCCTAAACCCATATGGGTGGTTGTCAAAATTATGGTCCCTTTTTGAGTGCCGATTATAGTACGGCACCTAAGATTTAGGGTACCCAAAAAGGGGCCCATATACAACCAGCAGATTTCGAGGTTCGGGCTCCCCTTGGAGTCGCCGAAGGCACCTGGGCCTGCCACGATGTATAGTTTCGCATAGGGTTTAGGGTTGAGGGTATGGGGTTTAGGGAGTTTAGGGTTTAGAGTTTAGGGGTTTAGGGTATGGGGTATAGGGTATGGTGTAGGGTTGAGCGTTGAGGGTTTAGGGTATAGTATAGTGTAGTATACTATCGTATAGCAACGTACAGTGTAGTATCATATAGTATCAAATAGTATACAGGGAACTCCAGAAAGTTGGAATATGGTTTCATGGTAGGATGCCCTATAATTTACCATAGAAGGGTTAGGATACTCATATTCCAACTTTCTGTTTTACCTTAATATAGTACAAGTAGAAGATGTACCCAGAGAATGCTCCGAGATGCGCTTCTTGGTTCCTGAGTGGTACCCTTACATATTATCAAGGACTGTAACCTAGACCCCCAAAAGTATGTAAAATAATGGCCCAAACCCTATAAAAGGCTGTTACTCTACATACTTTGGGGGTCCAGGAAGATACTTGTAGAATGGTCTAGGGTTTGGGGTTCAAGGCTTATAGGGTGTTGATAAGGCCTGTATGGGTCTTGACATGTGGTTTCCGGATTTGTATCGGCTTGTGCAGTGTTTAGGAGAGGCTGTAAGGCTGCGCAGTAGCATAGTTGAACTTGGGTTTATAGGGTTGAATAACTATACCCCAGAAGCAAGCATGAAACCCCATATAGTCTTAGCACCATTCATCGAAATATCGTTTTGCATCATTGGCACTTGGATCGTTTAGGTGAAGCTACCAGAACCTACGGTCTTGTAAAGTTCCCCCATAGAAATTTCAATGTCGGTGCTGCATAAGAGCTGTATGTCGGTCATGGCAGTGACTGAGGAAAACATGAAATTCTAAGCCTGCGAAGAAGCACCGTTGCAGGCCAACGACAGCCTACTCCTGACGAACGTGGGTGACGAGGACTCAACGACAAACCTGACTCACAGGCGGTTTGAGCCGGCTTGTTGCACCTTGCGTTTTGATACGGAGTTGCATTCGCTTCAGGTTTGGAAACAACACTTTCGGAATGAAGTTCCCCTTGCCAGCAGATCTCCTCTTATGACAACACTTCGATTCTAGCATGTAACTTTGCACCGCTGATGATCGAACGCGGCGGTCATAAAGAAAGAAATCCTTAGCTCCTACATAAACGGTCAATCCGAAACTCTTCTAGAAGTGCGTGCACGTGCGTATGTGTGTGCTGTCATCGTAAAGCCTAGGCTGAAGATGTGAAGCTCAAGACGACAGAGGTCCTCATCTGGAATCGGTATAATATGAAGCCTGAACAACTACGAATGGCATTTCTTAGGGTTCCTTGGTACGTTCAGACAATGATATATAGCCCAAGCCCTGTTCTGTTGTGTTGACTTATATTGTAAACGTGTCAGAGCGCAAGAAGTGTTGCTTATGGCAAAGAAGGGGCCCCCACCCTGTTATGGTGACTATAAGGATTATATGAGGGCCCTATTATATTCCTATTATACCACTATTTCAGGGTGGGGGCCCCTTCTACCCTATGGCTCTTTCATCTCTGAGAACTCAACAGGACATGGACTGGGTCATCGACGTTATCGACACCAACGAGACCTTTGGAAAAGATCCCTTCTACCGAGCAGAGGCGAGGGTGGCGCGAGAGTGGAAGGGGTGTGATAACCCTAGGGACCATCCTAGTACTGTAGCTGCTTGCATTATAAGGAAGGGTGTTTTTGTATCATCCCTTAGAAGTAGACGAAGATTAAACCAAACCCATTTCCTCTTCTAAGTATTTAGGCCCCTATGCTACTCTTTTAGTTTTGTGGTCTCCTCGTTCGGGCTATTCCATCTTCACTGCTAGGGCTCGAAAGTTGGGCCAGGACTTGAGTATCAATTCTAGTTAGTCTCCCAGACGCCTATATTATGCTCTGCCGCATAGGATTTGGGGGGGTTGTGAAGTTTAGTTCGTGGGGCCTTTTGGGGCTTACATCCCTTAACGCCCTTATAACCCCTAAAATCTCAACCCTAAAACCATTAAGGTCTCATTAATCCTATAAACTCCTACATTCTCAACCCTAATTCCTTGAAGGATCCTATAAATCCTTGCAACGCAAGCAGGTGGTGCGCACCCACACCGACCTGGCGCAAGATGTCCAGGGCGAGAGCTGGGATCACCTCACACTTTTCAACGGCACGGCTGGGATCTGAGAAGGGCTTGGGGGGTGCAGGGTTGGGATTATAGTAGAAGACAGAAAGTTGGAACATCACTATCCTCATGCCGTTAAGGTAAAGCATAAGGGATCCTAGCACCAATCCTCCTAAAGCTATGTTCCAACTTTCTGGCTTCTACTATAATAAGCCGTTTAGCCTAATTCGTGCATGATCACCTTAGAACACAAGCATGCAGTTGTCAGTGATCGACCTCCCCACAAACAGCTAGTTTCAATGTTGATAATTCGTGAAACTTCTTAGGCTGGTCAAAATGCAGGGTTTGGAGGTAAGCCCTAGACCCCCCCCGAATTCCCCTGAACTTGAAACCCTAAACCAGGTAGTCGAATTGAAAGACCATGCAGGCCTCAGCCGGGAAGGTCTTCTTGTGACTGTGAGAGGAACGAGCTCCAACACCAAAGGCTCCATGTTCCGAAAAAGTATATACTTGGGCCTCAAAGTCGTCTTTGTAAACGGGTACTTTACACTGTGCGTAGGTCGTTTTGGTCGTTTCGGGCAAGCTCGGGGCATGACTGGCAATACAGAAGCGTTTATAATCAGAAAGAGAATTAATGGAATGGGGTTTGGGGAGTAGATTATGCTCGTATACTACTCTACGATTGTATTCGGATTCCTCAGGAACAGTATTGAATTGCTCGATATTGAGGCTTGCAGATTAGGGTTTCAGGTTCGGGCTTCGTCTTTAGAATTTGGGTTTGGGGTTTTCGAAAGTTAATGCTTTGGTGCGTTCGGAGTTTCTGGTTCAAAACAGGAATACGTGATAACAGCAACCCGTTGAGCATCCATAAAGCATTACAGTAGCCCCATGATGGTAATCCTAATTAGGGTCTCGAAATCTCGAGTGACCTAGCTCGCTACGATCTGCAAGGTCGAGCTCGATGACGTGGTGCAGAGTGTGCCGCTGCCCTTCGACTTCCCACACTACCTGGAGTTCTCGGACAGAATTTTTGTAACGTCCAATGGCCACTTCGCTGCAAAAGTGTGAAGGGTGAATCCACTCACCCAAAACAAAGCGCTCGAATCGCCTTGTGCAATGACTCTTTGACTTGATGTGTCTTCCCAAGCTGCAGCGTTGTATCCTCCCACACTCTTCGTCCTTCGTGCAACCATGAACACACTCGGAGAGGCTAGACGCCCTAAGTTGTGACCTAAAAGCAACCTTTGCTGAGCTATGAAGCCTTCAAAGCAAGTCCCCGACTAAACCTTTAGAGCTCTTTTTACAGCCCTTACACAAAGGCATGCAAAATAGTAAGCCCCCAACCCCTTCAACAAAAACAACTCTGATTCAAAAAGGCTAGAAATGTTGAAGCCCTATGGTAAACCATGAACCCTAAACCCCAAAACCCAAACCCCAACTCCCTTCTAGATCCCTGCTAGGAGCCCCCTACAAAGGGCCCTCCCTAAAACCCCGAACCCTAAACCCTAAGCACCAAACCCCAAACTCCCAAGCCCCAAACCCTAGACAACCCTATAAAACCCCCAACCCCTAAACCCTATTTCACCCTCAACCTCAAATCCTAGACCCTATAATCCCCAAACCCCCGAACCCCTCCCAAACGGTTGATGATATAAATCCTGCACCTTAATGACCCTAAACTATGGGACTTATGGTATATTCCTTATTATGGGTAATGCAGGATTTATCCCTAAACCCTAAACCCTAAACCCTAAAACCCTAAACCCTTATTATGGGTAATGCAGGATTTATATCATCAACCGAAAGCGCCGAGGACTCCTGGGTTTTCACCCCTTCGATCTCCTCGGGAGCGCCGCGATCGGAGGCCCAGGGGGGCCCCACGGTTTCATCGCCGCACCGCGCCCGGGAGGATACTGAAAGCAATGCTTTTGTTTCTGGTTGGGTTCGGGGGCTTTAACTCTAAACCCTATATGAAAGCCCCAAATACCTTAAATCCTAAAGGCCCTCAACTCTAAGCCCTAGATGAGAGCCCCTTACAGTATCAAAAACCCCACCAAGCATGCGCGCCGAGGTGGGCTGACTTCACCCTGCCGGTTAATGCAACCATCTCGGCCCGGTGGCAAAGCTCCTTACCTTGCTTAGGTTGGATTTGGGTTTATAAGGGACCCTATATATAAATATTTTTCAGGGTGTTTAAAGGCCAACCCAGTTGCTTAGGACCCCGAGACTCCAATGCCCCTTAATTAAGGAGTTCCTTAAATCATATTTGGGTTTGTACCAAAACTTTACAGTATTTTACGTAATCAAGGGGCCTCTGGGGACACACACTTAAGGGTTCCTCGCGGCTGCTTTGAAGAGACGTAGACCGTTTTCTGGTGCTTTCACCGCGAGTGAAACTGGGAATATGGTGCAGCCTGAAAGTGTACCAGGACCCTCCTTGTACCTTCAAATAGGGGTATATGGTCCCAAATAAGGGGCAATTAGGGCCTAATAGAGGGTAGATGGAGGGTCTAGGTAATTATTTAAAGAGCGGTTGCTTGAAACCATCAACAAGTACACCCCCTCCGGAAGTCTCGCAGGTTTGCGAAGGATTGAGGACCTTCGGCTTTGTTGTAGGGTTTAGGGTTGGGGTTAGAGTTTTGGGCTTCAGAGTTTAGGGGTTTAGGGTTTGATTTTCAGGGTTTACTGTTTCATGGCTTAGGGGCTTAGGGGTTCCGCTAAGGATAGAAACCCGTCGACACATGCATGCCAGGAATGTCCTTAGAGCCAAAGGCTCATACCCCGAAGCCCACTTCGAAAACTAAGGCACACCGATGCAGCTCACGATATTGTATCGAGACCTGATGCTGAAGGCTCCGCCGGAACACGAGAGCTTAGACCTTGGGTACAGTTTCGGGTTTATTGCTGCCTTGACACCAAAATCCCGAATTCGGGATACTGCCTAGTGTCGGAGAGGGCGGGTGTCGACTGTGGTGCTAGCCGCTACAGTGGTTTAGGAACTTACCCCTTTGTTGCACAACCCACTATCCGGACCCCAAAACCCGGACCCCGGGCGCCAGGAGCCTACTGTGGGTCCTTTTCGCTTCCGGGTGACTCTGGCCAGCGATGGCGCCATCGCTGTGCTTCTAGAGGATTGTGTTTAGGGTGGAGGGTTTGGGGGTCTAGAGGATTGAATTTGGGTTTGGGGGGTTAAGGTTTGGGGTTTAGGCTGCCTGACGGGGCTTGGCCTGTGTTCTGGATTATTTAGAGCTGTATGCAAAGTTGTGTTTTATAGTAGATTTTATGATTGTTGTTTTGGGCTTCGCACGAGGTTTACAGGCCAGCATGTGATATTGGTGTCAAGATTGTTTTTGTCTGGAGAGCCTTCCCCCACGAAAGGATGTCGACATGCACCCTCAAAAGATCCCTAAGCCCGAAAGCTGTAAAGGACAAATACACCGCTTCAAGGAACCCGAAACCGGACCCCTTAAAACACCCATCAACCCGTAAAGGACCCCTAAGCCCGACACCTTCAAAACCATTCAAACACCCATCAACCCTGAAAGGATCCCTAAGACCGAAATCGTAAACTAAATGCACCCACCAAGCCTTAACTTAAGCTGAACACTGAAGGATTTAGATTGTAGGGCATCGCCAATGAAGGCTGGGCTCGGTTGAACAACCTTGACGAACTCGGTTTGGGTTATATAGGGATTAGTAATTGCCTATACTATTTTGGGGTTCATTATAAACATAGTACAGTGGGCCCGCAAAACCCTATTCTCATTAAGGCTCCTATAGTAGGGTTTCGGGCACAACATAGAAAAAATGGGCCCCAAAACCCTCTTCTAATTAAGGCTCCTCTAGTGGGGGTAGGGGTTTCGGACACATGCAGGACTTTGCGACCAAACCCTAAACCCGATTCTAATTAAATGCACATGCAGGACTTCCCGACCCAAAACATCTCCTCCTGGTCTTCCGAGCTCAAACTCGGACTCGAGCCCTCTAGCGGAGCTTGGGGGGGAACGGGGGTTTTAGGGGTTTGAGGTTTAGGGTTTAGGGTTTGAGATTTCGACGTCGGGTTTCTTCGGGCCTGGAGTTCAGGATTCCGATTTAGGTCGAAAAGGTTTGGGGTTTGGGGTCCAGCGGCTGAGGGTCTCGGATTGAAGAGTCCTTGTTTTTGGATTGAGGTTTAGAGCCTCGGATTTCGGTTTAATGAGGGTTCGGGATCTATAGGGCTTAAGAAGTGCTGAAGATATAGGACTTACTTGAACCCGCAATGGCCTTCCTGTTTAGGGTTCCTTAGGCCTTTCAGGGCCTGGGTTTGCGTAGACCCCCCAACTGCCCTTGATTGCTACCCCTAAGTGAGAAATATCAGAGCGTTCAGTCCGGGGGGCATCAGGAGACGCAGTGTGTAATATCTATGACGCTCAAGATTCTACGCCCAAAGCCCCTTACTCTAGTGAGCCATTCTTTCCTCCTACTTTAGACTCGGGAAGGGAAGGTGCTGATGCTGTAACATCGGGGCTGGCAATAATTAGAAGATGGTCCCCTATAGAGGATTCCTTTAAGGTAAAAGCCAGAAAGTTGGAATATGATTATCCTAACCCTTCTATGGTAAATTATAGGGTATCCTACCAAGAAACCATATTCCAACTTTCTGGAGTTCCCTTTAAACCGCTATAAACCCTCTGTAGAACCCTTATAGATCCCTTTAAAGGAACCCTTATAGAAGAGGATTCCTTTTAAGGTTTCTGTCAAGGGCCCCCTACGCCAGTTTCGGGCTTGGGGCCTTAGTTTGGGAGTTTCCGATAAAAAGGGGGACCCTATTCCCTAACTACTAGGATCCTTATTATAAGGACCCCCAAATAGGTACCCCTAATTTTCGGAAACTCCCTAATGATTGGAATAGGAAGGAGGTGCATTCTAATTATTGTCTGCAATTACACTGGGACTAGAAGGGAACGTGACCGCCGATGATGTAAGCACGGACATGAACCAGAGAGCTCATGCCGTCGTATCCACCGGGGACTTACGCCACTGCTTTAAGGGAAAGCATTCATCCTCACACGCATTTTCCATTAATGTAGCCTCGTCATACATTATTCAGATGCCACAGACCACGAAGGGATGTGGAGTTGCAGGGAGATCCCAAATCGGAGCCGAGTGTAGGGGCTGCCGGGCATCTTGAGTGTCTGGGCACCCAGATATGGGTGGGAACGGCCCCAGGACACGAGGGGGGAAGTATGGGTTTAGGGGAGACATACATACTGAAATGCACTTACACGTTACATAGCATAAGGTATGCCAGCCACCCAAACGGTGGTATGGCTACTACGCGGTTTTTAAAGGGACCCCTATTGTAACCTTTACTTGCAATGGAGAATCCTCAGTAGAGTACCCTTTATTGTACAGCCCGTTCTAACTAACCCATTTGTTACACCCCAACTGTGGCCCGCACAAAAATCGCCCTGGTTATGGAGCCTTGGTGCCTTTTTTCAGGAAACCTCAGCAGAACCTTATTCTGATTATGCAGGCCTTGATATTTAATTAGACACATTCCTAAACAATACATCAATAGACCCTAAGCCCTTAACTTCAGCCTCAGACCCAAAGCTAAAGCTTAAACCCTAGCCCGAAAGCCATGAAACCGTGACCCCAATCCTGGGCCCTTGTTGAGGGATTTTATTTCAGTTACCACAATAAGGAAACCTTTTATGCCTATTATGGTAACTTAAACTAAGTTCCTTAACAAAACCCAGAACATGAAAACCCTTAACCTTAGACTCAAAGCCACAAAGCCTAAGCCCAAAACCCCTAAACCCCTAAACCCTAAACCTTTTCAGGATCCCTTTAAGAAATTTATGGATTCCTTTAAGAGACCCTTTATGGATCCCTTTCAGAAACCCTTTATGGATCCCTTTAAAGAGACCCTTTATGGATCCCTTTAAAGAGACCCTTTCAGGATCCCTTTGAAGAGACCCTTTATGGATCCCTTTAAAGAGACCCTTTATGGATCCCTTAAAGAGACCCTTTATGGATCCCTTTAAAGAGACCCTTTATGGATCCCTTTAAAGAGACCCTTTATG